CGTGCTTCCGCTCCGCTCCGCCGGCCTTGACAGCATTCCAGCCGCCTCCAGACACCTCCGCGCGTCGCGTTGGCGTCGTAGCGCATGACCCCGGGCTCTCTCTCTCTCTCTCTCTCTCTCTCTGTGTGTGTGTGTGTGTGTGTGCGTGTGTGTGTGTGTGTTCGCGCGCGCGCTCACGCCTGACAGAGAGGGGAGGGGTGGGAGAGAGAGAAGGAGCACAACGTGGGACCCCAGACCCCCGACGCAGAGGTCGAGGTGCGGGACGGGTTGGGTTGGGTTGGGGGTTCGGAGCGGGTGACATAGACAGATGCTCCCAATGTGGGGACGATACGGCCCGCCCTGCCCTGCCACCGCTTTGCTTTGCGATGGGCTGTACGCGCGCTCCGGCGGGCTGTGCGGGCTGTGCCCTGCATGTTGCACTGCATCCCGTATCCTCCCGTAGGACGGCAGTGCGCCCCTGCACATGGCGTGCCTGCAGAACCAGCTCGTGGCGCTTGAGCTGCTCATCGCCAAGGGCGCGGACATCAACGCCCTGGACGTGGTGAGTGTGTTCGCCGGCCCACTGATGTTTGATGCGTCTTGCTCTGTGACTGCGACTCGAGTGGTACTTTCCCGTTGATTCAAACAAACACTAATTTTTCAGTTTTTGGAACCTTTTAATTTTTTAATCTTTTATTTTGTTTTGATTTTTTGTATTCTTTTCGATTCTTTTGAAGGGTGTACACGCTGATTTTGTTTGAGTGAAGTACTCGAAAAGTGCGACCCTTTTGCAGCGGTTGCAGTCCCCGATGCACATCGCCGCCGAGCGCGGCTTCACGGACGCGTGTAAGATGCTGCTGGCGGCGGGGGCCGTCATCGACCAGAAGGAGCAGGTGGGTGCGCCACAGGCTAAAAAAAACTCCTCTTCTATGTCCTTCTCATGCTTGTAAGATTTTTTTCTCCTTTCCTTTATTTTGATCTTTGATCCAATCGAAAACGTCGGATTTTTGTACTCCTTACTTTAGACTGGCAAGACGCCGCTCTACATGGCGGCGAGGGGTTCGTTCACCGCCATCGTGGACATGATCATCAAGACGGCCCGGCTCGACTGCCCCGCCACGGTGAGTGCGCCGAGGGTTGGGCAGGGGCTATGGTTAGGGGCTGGCTAGGCGCTGGCCAGGGCTTGGCTGGAGGCTGGCGCGCTGGCTGGAGGCCGCCTGGGGAGTAGGCCGACCCGCCAAGCGCCCGTGTCGAGCGGCGTTACGGCTGCCTACC